TATAAACAGCTTGCTTGAAGAAGAGCCCTTCAGCCCTCTCTTTTGCTTACTGAGCTCAGAACTCCTAAAACCAGGATTGTTAAGTATTCACCTTTTATTCCCGTTTATTTTACTGTTGTATATATATTTTGTCTCTTTTTAATACTATATTTTTCTGTATATTTTCTGCACCGTTTCTTTCATTAAAGGACGATCTAAAAAATGTTAAGCTTATCTCTACTCTCTAAATACGAACTTAAAGTATCCTTGCCTCCATGAAGAGCGCTACTATATAGTGAATCCTGTCATATTCCTGTCTGGGAGGACAGCGGTATCATAGGTATTATTTAAGTGTTTTAAATTGTCAGAGCACTTGCTGGACGCGGTCTGTGTTTCCGTTAAAAACACATGGTGGCAGCGAACATTTGTGGGTATAGGGTTAACTGCGGAGTTAACCAACCCTTGTGATGATCGCTCTCAGTCTGCTGGCTTGAGATTGTGTCCCACGAGCTGGGGAATCTCTGTGCAGGGTGAGGCTGAGAGTGGTAGCGCTACGTCCTTGTGACACCACGCTTGGTTCAGCACTGTGTATAGTCACGTGTGATTGACGTACAGCGGGTTTGGGCCGGGCGTACGTCACACACAACCATGAACCCTGAAATATGTAGCTTGTCTTTGCAGTGATCTTGTTTATTAGGGCTTGTCCATATCTACTGCATTCAGGTGTGTGTCCAGAACAATGTTCTCAAATCACACATCTGGGTTCGATTCCCGTGCTTTACAAAAATAATCTGGCATACAAACACACTACTTTGATTTTCAACCATATAACATTTCCCTAAAGCATGTGCCTGGTCATGCAAAATGCCTTCTGAATGCAGAGAGCAGCCAGTATCCCTAAGCCATTCACACGCAGGGCAAATACAACCTTGACATTCTCCCTAATATAAGGCCAATTCTCCTGCGTGAAATCGAACGGAATGTAAAAACATGAAGTCGACCACCTAAAGCCATGCTTGAGGTGAATACAAGACAAAGCTAGTGATCTTCATGGTATAGCCTGGAAAAAATCTATGCCCCATAGAAGACCCCTAACAAAACATATGCTATATACACCCCAATAGATGTTTAACTGTATGCATCCGGTAAAAGGACGTCTTGTGCAGGTGAACCCCGATAACAATTATCTAAGTTCTAAGTCATAAGATCGACATTTATGATACAATACACAATTACAAAGTTGCATTTAACTAGGGATATAGCCTCCCCATAGCTACTGCCAATGTCTTTCTAGCTTCTTATCTATCTATTTTTAGAGAATAGTAATTTATACATTTTTATCTCAAATCAAAAAAACTAACCCTGCCACCCCTGCCATCTGGTTGCCATTCTCCGTTGATGGGGGGCGGGTGAAGGGGTGGTTATTGGCGGAGAGGGGGGTGCATTGCGGAACCTGGCCTTGGGGCAGCAGGGAGAGTAAATCCGGCCCTAATGCCACTGTGTATTTTATCCTGCTTGCCGCTCGTACAGCAAATTGCATCCATTATTACTTGATTTTCTTAAAGCCAAATATAATTCATAGCTGTGAAGCTAGACTTTGTAAGGCAGGGCTCTACGGAATGGGGGTCACGCTAGGTGTGGGTCTTGAGATACATTGGCTCGAAGGCACCAGTTAATGAGACATGCTGTGTGCTTGTGCACTTCTGTACATGCCACATGTAGGGCCAAGCCAAGAGCAGTGTTGATGGATTTTAATTATCCATTCAGAATTCTTTCCCAGATCTTTCTCAGCCAATTTACCAGCAGTACGTTAATGAGCTAGCAGTAGAACGAAAACCTAGTCAAATCAATAAATCTCCACTCTTCTGTATTTTACAGCATTTTTCTCCTTTCTTTCGGCTCACATGCTCATTTACAGTTCGCAGGGCATTCAACACTTCATTTAGCAGGTTGTGAACAGACATCTGTTAGCAAGATAGCTCTGTGAGGGACAGCAAAATAAACCAGGTCCTAACCTTGAACTTGAAGTTTTATGGTGTCCATTCCCACCTCTCAAACTTCCTGCTTCAAGAGAAACAACATGTGGAAATCATTGCATAGAATCTGACACAATGCATTGTTTCCTCATGGGAATGGATAGTGCACCATCTTGCTATGGATTTGCATAGTGATTTTGCATATATTTCCTTTATGTATTAGGCCTCATTCCTGCTTCTAGACAAACAACATGGGGAAATCACTGTATAGAATCTGACACAATGCATTGTTTCCTCATGGGAATGGACAGTGCACTATCTTCTTATGGATTTGCATAGTGGTTTTGCACATATTTGCATATAAAGCAGGTAATTGATTTTTAATGTCATTCAGACTCTGCTTTTACCTGCATTCAGTTTAGTTGTGTTTGGAAAAAACAGAAATGTGTGTGTTCAGAATCTGACTAAAAGATCTAAATGTAGCTACACACATCACATCACAGTTTTAATCAGGACCATCTACACACATGAAAAAGCGATCCGGGAACCATAAAAGTTGTTTATGCTTCTCAGATAACTTCTCCTTTTTAAAGAAAAGCTGAACACTGGAGTGCCGATGTGAATGATGCCCCATCGCTAGTGTTTGGTTTTCATTATTCAGGAAAATAGGAAAGAATGCATATAAATACTGTGTATACCCATATTCAGCCAGAAGGCAGATCTCTGTTCTCCTTTTCAGGTGCTTGTTAGATTTGCTTTGCTGAAAAATGCCTGTTGATTACAGAGCTCAATATCCCAAGCTCCAAATTTCAAAAAATCTGAATGAGCTATAGAGGAGACTCATTTGCATCTCTGTTGCTGTATATCAGAAAATCTGTGAATCTTCGGTTCGGTGTGTTACGTTAAGACAGTCCATTTATTTAAATGGGCAGGTCACCGTACTAAAAACCATAGTGTCGTTCCAGGTGAGTCCACACTTGTCCAACACAGTTAGGTGCTCCCACAGCTCATCACTGGTAATATTGTTGCAGAAAAAGTGGGTAGCAGCACACTGACATCCATCAACAAGGTGCACTAGGGTCAGAATGAATCAGTGACATGCAGAAGCTTTGCTTCTTGGTGAGGCATTCCCCAGCCCCACCGACAGCAATCCCAGCCCCACCCCGCCCCCAGCATGCCAAAGCCCCACCCATACCACGTTGAGGCCCCGACCACATCCTGACGAAGCCCCAGTTAGTGTGAAGGAGGGAGGAGCTGAGGCATCGAGATTGATGGCCTCCGTGGTTTTTTTTTCTGTTTTTTTTTATTGGACAGCTTGGACCAATGGTGCTTTGCCATTGGTCCAAACCATCCACAGAGTTTGCGTCTCTAACAAAAAGTAGAGGCTGTGACAGCTATGGCCTCACTAGTTAGGTTACACAATCAGTGGGGAAGCCCGCTGCTGTGTTACCTAACTACCTGTCAAAAGCCAGATGCAGCGCTGCCTGTAATTAACAGGCAGCGCTCTGTCCATGACAGGTTACACAACAGGGAGGATTTCCCTGCTGTGTAACCTGATAGAAGCCGATCTAAATGGAGAAAAATCTGTCAGATTCAGGCTTGACGCTGACAGCTTTTTCCTCCATAATACTAGGTGAGGCTCTGCCTCACCTGCCTCCCTGACCTCACGTCCCTGGAATGAAAGGTACTACAATGCAGTAAAGCATTTTATGTGCATTACTGCATGGTGCGTTAATGCAGAAAAGTGAGTGTTCCCTAAAACATTCATCTAACTGCTGCATGATTGCATTTGTTATTTTGAAAATCCAGTACAAAGAACAAGCAGTGGTGAAAGTACTTGTGGGTTTAAATATTTTTTTAGTTAATAAATTCTCTGTGATCCCCCTAACTGAAGGCGGTGTGTTGGGTGTGTCCTCTGCCTACATGCTTTGCACTGAAAGTGTCACATCTCAGAAAGTTGGAAGGTATGGAAGATGTTTTCCAGACTGGAGATAAGGTGGTAAATGGTGTCCTTGTTTACTTTGCTGGCCTGATAGACATCTCAAGCAGTACAATCTGTTGCCCATGGGCGAACCAGTATTATCACAACATTTCCAGAATACAACATAAGCAGTCTAGAGAGACAGCCGCCTGAGGGATCTTAAACATGACATTTGCACAGAGCAGGAGCTGGTCATCAACCATCAGGCTGTACCTGCAAGCTACAGAGATCCAAAGGAAAAGACCAGCTATACTTTGAAGAACATTCAACCACTGTAAACTTTATTCCCCTGACAGCATGAGCACAAAGTCCCCACCTAGGGCTTCTTTGGAGGAGAAGATCTCAAAGCAGGGACTCTCTGTTCATGTTGTCCAGATAAATACATTTACCAGGATTTGAATTTTCTTGCTACATGCAAGCCAATGGGGTCAGGCTAAGCTCCAGGTTGGCTTGTTACAGTAGCTAGCAGAATAGCAGTATGGTAGAACAAGAGATGCATAGCCTCTCATTTGGAAGAACTGTCACTCCTTTGCAACCAGTTGCCTCTGTCCCTCTTTCCTCCTTAATGGTCCCTTATTTTGGTCCGAAATATAGACCTCTAAACAAAAGTACTATTTATCTAAGAAAACGGTTATGCAGAATTACACCTTTCATCCAACCTCAATTTTATTTAATTTGATATTTTGAAAAAACACTATAAAGAAATGCACTAATGAAAAAAGCAATTGTGGTTAAACTTGATGGACTTGTGTTTTCTTTTTCAATCTATGTAACTATGTGGATTTAACTAATTATTTTTGTCAGAGGTCTTGACACATGATACAGTATATATGGTGCATTAGATATGTGATGGGTGTCAGTTTAAATCGAATACATGAGCCCTGTAGCGTTTAGTTAAAACAGTGTGTCATGGGTTATTTAATAAGGCAAAACATTTTACTTATAGCAGCCATTTATCCTTGGATGAAAATTATTTTGAGATCTGACCTTAGCCAAACAGTTCCAAGTTTTGACAACCTGAATTGTGAATACTCTATTTTACTGTATTTGTCTTTACATTACAGAGTGTTTGGATTTGCAATAGTTGCTACATCAACGTTAAACATGTTAATCCCCTCGGCAGCCAGAGTACACTATGGCTGTGTCATCTTTGTCAGGATCCTGCAGGGATTAGTAGAGGTAAGTCTTTGCATGGCCTGTTACAAAGATTTTCTTGTGGGTAAAAATGCAATCCTTTGTAGAAGATCCTTTAAATTACAATAAAGCTGATATATCAGTGCTTGTGCAAAAAGGCGACCTGTTGCCCACAACATTTGTTGTTGTTTCATTTGAAATAAGGAATATGACTACTTTCTTTTTTAGCCTTTTTTGCCAATGTTCTGTGCAAAGGAAATTCATAAATCACTGCTATTTTTTTTTAAACCAAATCTCAGGTGCTACTAACCACAAAAGCTGTCATTACAGCAGGCACCTCCAACCTATTACAGTTTGTGTGCCATGCTGATACAGTATATTTGTTTTTGTGAGCCCAATAAATGTTAAAAATAATCCTTAAAGGAAACCTGTCAGGGCAGCTTTTACCTGTCACGGTTGAGGCTCCTGTTTAGCACTGGAGAATGTCATGACCAAGCTTCTCAAGCCAGCACTAAATCTTGGGCATTTTAGCACTGTTGCCGGTGGTCCAAGCTCAGTGTGAGATAAGCTGCCCTAACAGACTTCTATTACAAAACTTACAATAGTCTTTGAGACTATTGTAAGTTTTGTAATGAAGATCATGCTTGTGTTAATGGTACAATGGTGCAAATATTCCAAAAAGCTAACTGACACGTACATGTTCCTACAGAGCCACTGATTGGGGATCACAGGTAAATTACGTAGGAAATTTCAATCAGAATGTTGCTGATTAATATATTTGTGGAACAACCTAGAGGTATTAAAACATGGAGCTAGCTGTTCCCTAAAAAAAAGATAAGAAAACAACCCACTGCAAAATTGCATATGCTAGCTGCTATATTGTAAATAACAATGTGCCACTGCACAAGGAATGCAGTCCTTTCAACATGGCCCACTTGCCAAGGTATGCAATATATTGCCCTTGAACTATCTACTATCGGTTTGATTAAAATCACTTGTGCTAAAAGTGTATTTCCACTTTTGCACTCAAATTTAGGAAAACCCCTTCATATGTTCGTTATGTGTTCCTATTCACACAGCATACTATAAAAATAACTTTTAAAAAAAAAACATACCTTTTAGATGTTTTGTTACATCAGGCAAAATGGCTGATTACAGGTTTTTCTGAGCCATTTGACAGTGGTCTATCCCAATGCAAAGCAACAAATATAAAATGGGTATTATCGCAATTTGGCAGTGAAAGTCAAAATACCCTTTAAGTTGGCAATACACGAAGTGAATTTCGACCTGTTCACGATGAACTGGCCAAATTCCAGCCGTGGGTGGCCCTGTCAGCACCCCCCTGCTCAACAATAGTCGGTTTTTCACTAGGCCTGATTGCTGTCATATGGGGATAGGGTGTGTGCATAGCTCTGGGCAAGTGTTGATTTGCTTAGCAGTTTGTATCAAATACAGTATATGTATGTGCATGTATAAAATAAGTTAAAAATGTCTTGTTGCAATTAAGGGAGTGACATACCCAGCGTGCCATGGAATCTGGAGCAAGTGGGCACCACCGTTGGAGCGCAGTAGGCTGGCCACAACAGCTTTTTGTGGTAATGTCATTAAAAACAATTTACTCTGCTTGTATAATTACACTCTACATATAATTTATTGTACTCGTGAGAAAGGTCTGCTGTGTGATAAAATTCACACAGAGTAAATGAGAGTGCTGAACTATTATTTCAGGATAGATACTGCAATGGGAATTCCACTCAAAACAATTACCATGAACGCTATCTATAAATCAACCTATGAAATCTATCTTTTGACTTCATTGTTTGGTAACATATATCAAACTATAAAAGATCATCTTTTGGCGATTTTACTCCAGGAAGATTATATCTAGTTGGTTGTTTTGGCTAACTGTGCTTTGCACATTTCTCTAGGCTAAACTCTAGGCAAAAAAAATTAATGTAGTTCTGTAATCATTTAAACATCATTAAGGGGGTTATTCTCTAAAGAGCCAAAGGATCCAGCGGTAGCTTCGGCTGATCCTTCGGCTCTAGGCACTGCCCAGATGAGAATAGGGGCGAACGGCAGCGAGTGAGCTGCCGGAGCTTCGGCTCAGCCGATCTAGATGTTGGATAGCCTGAGTCGAACTCCTTATGCACTTCGGCTTAGCCGATGGCAACCGAAGGCAGCTGATGTACGGCTGATTTTAGCCGATGTATGGTAGGAATTTTATGGGAGGAACCCCACCCCCTAAAATGGGGAAAAAAGGACGTGGGTCCCCCACTTAAATTCCACACCAGACCCTTGATCTGAGCACATGCCCGGCAGGGCAGGAAAGGGTGGGGGGGCGAGCAAGTGCCCCCTGTGATACCAGGCCACATGCCGATGGGGACAAGGGCCTCTTCCTCACAGGCCCTGGGGCGTTGTAATGTGGGGGCGTGGGCAGGGGGGCTTATTCATATTGGGGTACCCAGATGCACCCCCTCCTTGTGAATAACACCCATTCACTAAAGGGTTAAAAAATTTTTTTTAAAGACACCAGATTTAAAAAAAATTCTTTTAACCACTTGCCGTCCGCCCGTTGCAAAAAAATGGACGGACAGCACAGTCACATTGGCGGGTTGCCGTAACTAGACGGCATTTTTTTTCTGCTCGCACGCGCACGGGTAGAAAAAACCCGTCCGATGTGAAGAGCCGCTACCGGCTGTTTTACATACACACGATCAGCGGCTCTATAGCATGACCTTTGGGTGAGTCTCACTGAGATCCAGGGAAGCCCAACGAGTAGAAAAGGTAGGAGTCTTGCTCCAGTTGCATCCATTTCTTCATGGCTTTAAGTGTGCACTAGTCTGCTACCCTGCCAGGCAAACCACTGCATAATAACAGAGTGCGCCCTGAAACCCTTTCTTTCCATAGTTTTTGACTGTTAACCTCTTGCCGTCCACCGTTGCGAAAAAACGGACGGACGGCAGACTCACATGGGCGGGTTGCCGTAATTAGACAGCCTTTTTTTTCTGCTCGCGAAGGCTAGGGGAGAACGGGCAGAAAAAACATGTCCGTTCTTCACAGCCGTTACCGGCTGTTGGACATACAAACGATCGGCGGCTCTATAGCTGCCAATCGCTTGCATGTTGTGGCTGCTCGCCCCCTTCTGCAGTGCCTCCGCCCCCCTCATCCTGACCCCTTACCTTCAATCCCGGGATCCGCTGCCCCATCTGCGGCTCGGGAGGGTATCAGGAGGTAAGATGGGAGGGAGTTCAGCATCTTCCTCCTTGCTGATCTCCCTCCGTGCTGTGAATGCGGAAGTAATGTGTAATACATCACTGCCAGAGAGGAGAAGCTGATGAAGCAGACCTGTTTTGGGGTCCCCAGGTGACAGGGGTCTTAGAGAGCCCTAATGTCTCCATAAAGAGGACCTGTCAGTGTGCCTTTGCTATTATATAGGGGGATTGTTATACCCCTATTTAATAGCATTGACATTAAGCATTGACAATTTTTTTTTAAAAAACCCAAAAAATGTTTAAGTCCCCTACCTCCACGTTCACGCACAGGTAACTTAAATACGCGTCCGGTGCACCAGCGCGTGAAAACGACAATTGTGCTACACATGTTACATATACATGTGTTTACATGTCACTAAACTGATGAGCGGTAAAAACTTTTAAACCGTCACCTATGACCAATTTTGGGTATTGTAGTTTTTTGAGGTTTCGCGCGCACACGCAATTTTAAGGCTTGACATGTTTGGTGTCTTTTTACCCGACGTGACCCCGCCTTTTATATTTTACTAAAAAATTGGGTAATAATAACTGTTTTATCATTTAATATAGGGGAGACAGTTTTTTTTTTTTAAAGTTCGGTAGGTTTTCCTTAATATAGTAAAAAATAAAACCCACAGTGGTGATTAAATACCACCAAAAGAAAGCTCTATCTGTCCCCAAAAAAATTGTATAAAATGTATTGCCGTACAGCATTGCATGACGGAATAAATGTCAGTCAAAGTACCGCAGCGCTGAATACTGAAAAATGGCCTGGATGGGAAGGGGGTGTAACACCGCGGACCTCAAGTGGTTAATTAAAAACAAAACAAAAGATAAGTTTTTGACAAGTCTTTAATAATAAACCCTCCCCCAACAAAAAAAAATGATCAATTGACATAATCCAGCGTCAATCACGACGACCAGCATTGTCGACGACGATGACGGCGACTCAAAGAAATAAAAAAATATAAATAACAAAAAAATAAAAAAATATTTAAAAAAAACTACTAACACGCTGACCCGACCGCACGCGATGAACTCCCGCTGAAGCATCTGACAGCTGTCGGCAAAATAAAAACATATGGGTGGAGCTAGCGGTGACACCTAGCTCCGCCCAGCTGTTTCCTATTGGCTAGCACCTGCCAGTGTCTTCTAGCAGGTCCTGGGCCAATAAATAACAACTTTTTGTTGCTATTTGTCTTCAATGATCTGGCTGACTCATCTACTTGCATTGTGAGGTGAAGCAGTAAAGCAAAATGATTGTGCTGCAGTGTAGAAAAAAACAGCATATCCAATGAACAAGTATGGCTTCCCTATGTACTGTACATATATATTTACACATTATTAATAAAAACACAGTTTTTAAAACATTAACATTTATAATATTATTTACATCATGCACAGATTTAGCTGAATAAAATGTGCAAAATTACTCTAGTAAAACAGAAGTTAAGTGTCCTTGATGGACATTTTTGCAGCTCTGATGTTTTATTCCAGTACAAATCATAGGTAAGGTTCTTTCTAAAAATAGACAAGCACCTCAATGCTGCATAAATAATGCATGCTAATTGATTTGAAAATACAAATGGTGACCTTTTGGTGCCCATTGCTATTCCTTGGTAGATTAAGGACACCAAAGTCATCTGTTTTAGAGAAATGAATTTGTCACATGATACATTAAAAATTAATGTTACTGATCCTCTTATGTCTCCTGCAAAAATGGCAGAATAATAATAGATACATTGAGGGTGAGATTAATACAAGCCAAATTGTCAGCCTAAGCATTTACTGTATTTAGGTTAAGTTACAATTGCCAGTTCTTGTATAGATCCTAGAAAAATCCATAAATTGCATTATCTTGACTTCCTTTGTTTATTGTTCATAAAATATCTGCCAATTATTTTAGTGTTTTTCTCATTAATATTGTATATGGAATTGATTTCAATTGTGACTTTTTAAGCAATGCTGTAATATTTTTACAACACATTAATGTCTGTAGATAAAATATTCCTTGTTAGCATTCCCCTAAAGTGTTCTTTTAGCTCTTATAGAAAAGGCCTATTTATGTAACAGAGCTGTATGTAGCTTGGGGGCATTGGCATTCAGTACTGTGAGGCCCTATGGCGTACCTAGCATATCTGGGGGTGGGAGCAGAATTAGCCGGCGGAGGGTGAACAGCAGTTAGTATGAGAGCAACTTTATGCAGAGTGACTGAACTTAGCATATTAAAGTGCCTGACATGCAGGAGCCTAGAGACATTTGTGGCTATGAGGTCTGACGACCCCAAATTATGTGGGGGAATGGGAAAATCGTATTGAACACAGTGTTACCCTCATTTCTCCAAAATTCACAAATTAGTGACAAAACAATCAGATTTAAATCTTATCTCTGTGTTGGCGAGGTGACTACTTTCAGCCACTGAGCAGAGTGAAATCCTCTTGAAAAAATAACCAGCTTAAAACCCAATGACAGAAAGCAGATCAGTTTGAATGGAATGCAAAACATCTTAGCCAGGATGTCAGGATTTCTTACAGCTGAGTGTTTGTGATGCTGTGGTTGCTCTTTGGCACCCTCTTATGTCCAAACCTGCACACATCATCACTCTGCTGCACTGCTAGGACTCCTGGGTAATTCCTGTCTCACAATGATGATGTAGGTACCAGGTCACTTTATAACCTTCACCTTGTACATTCATTCTCTGTACTTGCGTTTGTTCTGATCAACCAAGTGTGCTGCCATTAGCCCTGATTTCCGTTTATGATCCTGGCTCTGGCTGACTGATCTCCTGGTTCCTGACTCCAGCTTTGTTTTCATTCATCCTGTTCTCTGTGCTCCCTGACATGGCTTGGTTGACTACCCGCTTTGGCATCTGACCCCTGGCTTGGCACAGACTTTGTCCTGGACTTTCTCCATTGTTTTTTGCCATTTATTTTTATTGTTGTTTTTAATAAATTCCTTTTATATTTTAAACCTGCACTTTAAGTTTCTTGGTTCCCTAACACAGGATTGGCATAGCATGTTAATGAGCCAGTTGTAAAGGGCTATCGTAAACCTTAATTAAACCAGAGAGTCCTAATGCAACCCTGCCCAAAGTAAACCCTGTCCCTCTAGTAGAGAAATACACATCTTTGATCTGAGATTGAAATGTCAGGGCAAACTTAAGGCCCTTAAGGGGAAACATGGGGTCCCCCCTAAAATTCCTAACCAGACCCTTGATCAGAGCACAGGCCTGGCAGGGCAAGAAAGGATGGGGTCAAGCGAGAAGGGCCTCTTCCCCACACACCCTGCGGTGTTGGTTGTGGGGGTGCGGGCAGTGGGGCTTATTCACATCGGGGCACCCAGATGCGGCCCCCCCGTGTAAATGAGTAAGAGGTACCTATTCACTAAAGGGTTGAATTCAAATTGTAAAAAAGACGCCACACTTTTATACAAAACCTTTAATTGAAAAAGAAAAACAAAAGACATGTTTTTGACAAGTCTTTTATTTAAATTAAAAAAATGAATCCACCAACATAATCCTAAGGTCAATCAAGAGTCCAGCGTTGTCCATGATGACTCAGCAAAATAAAAAAAAATAGAAATAAGAATTTTAAAAAATATATATAACACCCAGGGTGGAACTAGCAGTGACATCATCGCTTGCTCCGCCCAACTGTTTACATTTGTCCGGCACCTGACAGGACTTAGCTGTGAGCCATGATTGGGCAAAGTCATCATTACTTTGCCCAATCATGGCTCTTACAGTGAACTGTGCCATGACTGGGCAAAGTCTCTGTGGTCAGGTGCATTACTTTACCCAATCAGGGCTTCACAAGGCACTGTGCGGTGCACAAAGGCTTGTGGGGAACTTGGCGTGCGAACAGCCTGCCCAATGCCCTGATAGTTAACGTGTTCGCCGAACACACGAACTACCGATGTTCAAGTCGAACTGTTGTTGGACTCGAACATCGAGACCATCCCTACTTATATCATATTTTGTCTCTAGTAATTCATAACTGTATTCTGTGCAATAATATGTCACTTGTCAGATTGCAAGATCTTGTAAGGTGTAAATATAAATGCATTTAGAAAAATTGTCATAAAGAGTGTATCAGCTCAACATCATAAAACACTTCAGCCCCCCTTCAGCATTCCCCCAGATACTTGGATTGGTTATGCTAATTCTGTAAATGCCATCTTCAGGGACCAAAAAAGATGGCTGCTTTTGCAGCTCAGCAGCTCTCTATATCATAAAAACTAATGATGGCAACAAATAAACCCCAGAACTGGTGTAAGTGGCTGCAATGAATCCCCCTTCATTGGTGGTCAGTGGAAGTAATGCTTACCCTCCAGCATTGGTGGTCAGTAGTAGGCTGTAAAAATACCCCTACAGCATTGGCGGTGAGTGGCAGGCAGTAATAATAACCCCTACCGCAGATTGGTGGTCAGTGGCAGGCTGTAATAATGAACCCCTCAGCACTGGTAGTCAGTGGCTAGCTCTAACAATAAACCCTCCTTCCCCCAGCATTGGCAGTCAGTGGCTGACTGTAATAATACCTCCCCCAGCATTAATTTGAAATAGCCAATAGCAGGCTGGCTATTGCACACCTGCCCACTGCTTGCTGTTTACATTCAGCTGCCGGCTGTGGAATTCTGCCACCGGCAGATGAATGGGGTGGGGGGACATGGGGGTGGGCAGAGACTCAGTAGGGTTCGACCAATATCAGGCAACTGCTTGCTGTTTACATTGAGCTGCAGGCCCAGCTAGATGTAAACAGAATATTGGAACCTGGTATCGGTTATCAGCCTGAAAGGTGGCCCTAATTAGTATTGGTTCTTAAAATCCATATCGGTTGACCCCTAGTGGACAGTAGCTGCAGCAGCTTTGATGGCAGTTATAGCAAAGACCTACTAATTTAATACATAACTTCCTGCAATTTAAGCTTTAAATTACAGTATCTATAAAGCCAAAACTTTAGGTTTTGTTTTGGATAGAGTAGGGAATGGTCAAAATGCATGTTAGGCTTTGTCCTCTTTGGAATGTTTCCCTTCCATACTATGGTGCTAGAGCTAGTTGCCCACAACACAATAATCCTTTATCTTCTTTAAAGGTCAGTTTGAGGAGGCTTGAGTTGTGTGTCCACATGAAAAGATTTTGTGGGAGTAGATCTGACAATAAATGTTTTTATCTATTGTTACATTTTCTAGGTTCCTATGCTGGAGCTGTGGTGGCCATGCCTTTGGCTGGGGTGTTAGTACAGTATACGGGATGGAGCTCAGTGTTCTATGTCTATGGTAAGTTACAGCAGTACCACACAAAAAGTCAGGAAAATACGATGTACATTGTGCTGTAAATTAAAAAATCTATATAGTAGACATGTTTTGTCAAAATTCGGACGAAATTTCGAAGATTCGGATGTATCCGAATTCCGAATTATGCAAACGAATCCGAATTTCTGATTCTGAAATTCATTAGCGGTAGTCTGTACGATATTTTGCTTGTTGGACGAAATTTCGTTGCAGCAAGGTGACCTTAGACATTTTTTTTTGTTTACAGTCTGCAGAAGAGGAAAAAAAAATCGGGAGGTTCCTCCCAAATTGATACCAGACCCTTTAGGTCTGGTAGGAATGTTAGGAGGGACCAAGTTAAAACAAACAAAAAAAGTGTGTGGGGTTCCCCCCAAAAATCCATACCAGGCCCTTCAGGTCTGGTAGGAATTTTAAGGGTGAATCCCAGCTCCATAAAATGGGGAAAAAAATGTGGGGTCCCCCTAACATTCCTACCAGACCCTTGATCCAAGCACAGGCCTGGCAGGGCAGGAAAGGGGGGGCGATTGAGCGTCCCGCCCTCCCTGCGCCTTACCAGCCATGTGCCCTCGGCATTGGGAGGGTGTCCCCATGCCGATGGGGACAAGGGCCTCTTCCCCACAACCCTGACCCGGTTGTTGTAGGGATCTTTGGGAAAGGGGTCTTATTTGCATCGGGGTACCCCTTTAATTAAGGAGGCACCCCATAGACCTACTCATTCACTAAAGTGTTAAAATTCAAAGTCAATAAACAAACCACACTTTTAGGAAAAATCGTTTGAATTAATTTTTTTAAAAAAATGACAACGAAAACTCGCCACAAAATGACATCCTACCCGAAAGTAAACAGATGGGCGGAGCGAGCCATGGTTTGACATTCTTAGCTGTCAAATACTACACAGCATTCGGGAGCTCCGAATGCTATTCGTGAGCTCCCGAATGCTATTCGTGAGCTCCCGAATGCCATTCCGGTCTGTGAGCCGAGGTGTCATATGAAAACCTCGGCTCACAGACTTCTGGCAAATCAACAGGTTTAAATTATGGAGAAATGTAAATACAGTATATTGCAGGGATGTATTGCATATGTTTTCCATACATACGCTTTAAGCCATAGAATTATATTCTGGGCTGGATCTAAGTTACTTTATTTTGTAGCCAATCGCCTTTCGATGTGTTAACTCCTCCCACTGGTATACACTTTTAAGTATTCATAGATAATTGTCAGGGTGACCATTTCAACAGGTTGCTCTTAAGAAAAAAGAAAATCTCCCAGTTTGGATTTCTCTTTTCTTTCATTTAATATTAACATATTATTATTCCAAGAGCAAAGTAGCACTGGGACTATAAACAGAGCGCATAGAGACATAAGCTATTAGTATACCAATCTGTGTGTCTAAGTACCGTATTTGTAAATGTCCAGCTGCCATATTGATTTTATGGCCAATTGAACTAGATTTAATGATCCATAGGGAGCTTTGGTATTTTCTGGTACATGTTCTGGATTCTTGTCTCATATGAGAGCCCAGCACAACATCCCACAATATCAGAAGAAGAGAGAAGGTACATTGAGGAGAGCATTGGCGAGAGCACAGGTTTCATGAACCCACTGGCGGTGAGTTAAATTTTTTTCTACAGTAATACTAACAACAAAGTGTGGCTGTACCGTGTTAACCATAGGTAGTAGTTGTAGGAAAGTAAAAATGTAGATAATACCTTTTGTATAGTTAACTGAATATATTTTAGGTGCAAGGTTTTTAAAACAGTTTCCTTTATTAGGCATTGTTTCATACAAATAACAGAAACATCATATCTGCATATACACAAATTCAGCTGACATCAAAGCACATGGATTTGTTAAATCCACAAAAATGTTCATTGTACATACATCAGTATATGTATATAATTTTTTGTATGAATTTGTTTCTGGGTCTATCACTGATGATACCCTTTACGAATGTACAAGATTAAAGCCGAACTTAATTTATTACTAGTGCAATTGCTTTATCTCCTGGTACTTGCTCCCACTTCCTTCTTCCTCGTCTAGGCCCTAAGCAAGGATGACATAGTCCTCTGCTCCCACAGCCTCCTGGGATATCACGTTGCACATTTCAGGAGGCTGCAGGGCAGTCTCCCCACAATCTGCCAATAGTCATGCATGCACAGTAGGGGGCCCACTGTGAATGATTAGGAAGTGAGAGGTGTAAGTACCGGGTAAAGTGCCTCATTAAGTGCTTCACTCAGTTTTTAAAATGTTATTTTGTAAAATAAATAGTTTTTGAAACCCGCTTTTTAAAAAGTGTATTGAATAATAGTCTCTTTAACCTCTTCCTCCAATCTGTTTATTAATGTTCCTTAGCATGATGCCCTGTCCTAAGGATGTTGAGAAACAGCCTAATCTGTCAGCCTATAGAAAGACAGAGCAATTTTTTTAACAGTGTACAAAATAAGAAGCCTTACATGTTCTTTAAAATAAAAATATTTTGGTATGCAAATTAGCTAGGGCATTATTGCTAAATGAATTGACATGGTTTGCTTGCAAACTGCTTTACCTTGGATACTGATCTGTGCATGTGCAGTCCAGTGAACATACTTGACATGCCTTGGTGCTAAGATGAATTACCTCCCATGCGCAGGTCAGGTTCACTTTAACTAAAGAATTTTAAATCCGGGCTTACCAATATAATTGTACCTCTCACAAATGCCATCTGCATTTACTCTCTACAAGTAGTCATGTACTAATCTTCCTGCAGTTTGCTTCATCATGCTTATCATTTTCTCTCTTGGCCTTTCATGCTAAGCCTAAGACTGGCATTACTACCAGTATCAGAAGTAGTTTTGTCTGTGGTAATTTTAATTGAATACACATCAAATTACAAATGTAAATATATGTCATTAGAAAATGTATGTAAACCAAGTTTTTTAATTGCTGTATATGTAATATTGTCTTGTTGCAGAAATTTAAGGCACCTTGGCGAAAGTTTTTCACCTCTATGCCAGTATATGCGATCATTGTTGCAAACTTTTGCCGTAGTTGGACATTCTATCTCTTACTCATTAGCCAACCGGCCTATTTTGAGGAAGTGTTTGGCTTTGAGATCAGCAAGGTATGTGTTCTTTCTGGAAAAACTGTATTATTAACTTTCTAAGTCAAGTCGGGATCAATAGTCTCTATAAATAAATACATTTATTGTCATGTGGTTTTGAATAAAACTTTAGCGAAGCCCATTATAGTCAAAAAACACAGCCTAAAAGCCAGTTTAACAGGGTTAGCTGAGGATATTATTGACAAAACGTCTTTGAACAAGTAATCAAGTGATAGACTCCCTCCCACAACATTGCAAATTTTGGTGGTGTAATTTTTAGTTGTTAAAATGCCAATATACTTAAAAGTATCAGTGTGCTTTTGTGGTAAACATCATACACCCCACAGGTCAATGTATACAGTGCTATGTTATGACCTCTATATAGCACTACATTCTCAGGAAGTACATGTAATCACAGAAGCAACAGAGCATATGCTGCAGTCTCTGCATGTGTTAGCTAAATCCAACCCATCCCCAGTCAAGTGATTCCAGCCAGCCAATATTCAAATTCACATCTAGAGAGTTTCTTATGCCGTACTTGTTATTTTAAGTCCTGTATTGCAGCTATATTGAGGTGTAAATCATTGTAGACTGAGAACAACTGAAAGAAAACTAGTAACCAATGTTTATACCGAATTGCCTTTTGATGATAGTCCTCAGAACCCTTCATCAAGGAGGTCCTTGATCATTTTAAAGCCATTTTTCAATAAATAAAAATGAGCTGTGTTATGAAAGAATAGGTGCACTTAAAATAATACTGACACAAATGACAGTTCTACATCCTCAATTATACCTACTCCCGAACACGACCCCATTCCTTTTTGTTAACTATAGTAAACTTATGGATTTTGCAGCTTGCCCTCAGCCTCTGCTGCCTATGCTCTGTCCTGGTATAATCCAGAGCAGAGTTTCCACACTTGCTGGGATGATGACAAGACGTACCCCAAAGAAATATGGAAGTCCCCACAGCACCTTGGCATTTATGTCGGCCGACTGACACTGTTGTCTTTGGCAGTTCCCATCCTTACCTGGTACATGTGTGTCTACTCTGAATGTAGCAAGAAGGCTGCCATAGGTATTGGAAAACTTCACTGCCCAAAAGCTAATGGAGAAAAGGGGGATGAGGTCTAAAAAAAGGGTTATTACTGAGGTGCGCTTAACCTTTAATGCATGTATGATTTAGCCATGCCACAGAATTTGGTATGATGATATTTAGAAGCACATACATTACAAGCAAAAATAAACAACAGACTGCTACATTGCATAAACATATTATAAAATATTATTTTATCCTTTAAGGATCCATTGCTTCCTGTCTGTCTTACAGGTTGGTCTTCTCTCTGCACTACCGCACTTGGTAATGACAATCATTGTACCCATTGGAGGGCAGATAGCTGACTTCCTGCGTTCCAAAAGGATAATGTCTACTACCAACGTCCGTAAAATGATGAACTGCGGAGGTATGTATTGTTGACAAAAACAATTGATAGTGAAGTTGGGCAATGACATGATCTGCTTGGGACAATACAGCGTGGTTTAGGACATGACAGTCATTTTGTTGGCAAAGCCGCTTTAAGACTGCCAGCTTAACTATTTGGCTTAGAGATAACAAAAAGCTAAAATAACAAGCATTTAGATTGTCCAGATCTTTAGAAATCAACACCAACGATGGGGTTAGCTGAACCATGCCTATAAATGGGGCACATTGGGAAGAGATGTTGCAATGATTATTATATAGTTTGTTCAATTGTAGATTTGGCTTATCCATATGTATTAACTGCTGGCAGGCATGTGTAGACTGTGGTGAATTCACCACGACTAAGAATACAAAAAAGGCATTGGGTAGGTAAAAATATATCAAATACTCTTTAAGTAAGGTTTAATTCAAACATTAAAACATTTCTGCAAGCCTAGTCTCAGGATGACAGGAAGTTGAAAATAGTCATGATAATTGGTGATATTTATATATAATATTTTGTATGTGTTTTTCCATAGGTTTTGGTATGGAGGCCACGCTTCTTCTAGTTGTGGGCTATTCACACTCCAGGGGAGTAGCCATCTCTTTCCTTGTTCTAGCTGTGGGCTTCAGTGGATTTGCTATATCAGGTGAGTCATTAATCCAATAAGAATATATAATCTAGTGTGATCATTATCCCAGTAAAACCAAAATCCCAACGTGAAACACAAAAGCTTATTCAAAAAAAGTAGTGAAGATTGTGATGCACCAATAGCAGTCAGCCATAGCAAGAATTAAGATTTCAGACTGCTGCAGACTAATTTGTTGCTGTGTATTATTATATTGTTCCCACTGAATTTTACCTTACTTAAATTGACAAGTTTTCCTAAGTGATATATGCACCCAACTAATCCATTTCATGCAATTTAATTGTACCAAAGTCTGGACACCCCTAATGGAATAACATGTTTTCTTGATGATCCCAGGGAAAAGAAGACAGTCTTCGTAGGGACAAAATTAAACATGACATTTTTGTACACATTTAAACGCTTAGTTATTATTTACAGTATTTCTTGAAATAGGAAAAAATAAAACATGAACAGTGTCATGTACAACAGTTTGACCATCCTTCTAGTTGATCCATTATTGTTATTTTTGAAGGTTTAGGTTTTTAAATTAAATGACTCATTTGACCTTAATCAAAATCAGCTGAAGACAGTTCTCATCATGTTTTATTTATACCCAAAAGGTTATGGGCTTATGTAAGCATCTGAGTGAGGATCAGAAAAATTAAGATAAACGACTATTACAAAACAGATGAAGACTGACAATAAAAAGAAGGCAAATTTACCTGCAATTTTATCATAGCATCAATGTGCAAATTATGCAACAAAACACACAAGCCAACGGCATTTTGCAATGAAGTGTTGTGGTTTTATAAAACAAAAATTAAATCTATAGATGTACTCTACCTAAGGCACATTTAGAGGAAAAGGAGAAACATTTCAAGAAGAGAACACCTTACCAATTGGTTAAGCATGGTCTGCTTTGGGTTCGTTTGGTAGCCAGAGTAAATTTCAAATCGTTAGATGGAAGAATACATAGTACTAAGTATCAATCAATCTGGAAGGCTCCTGTGCACTAACATTCCATACACTTGAATAGGGCTTTGCAGTAGGAGTGTGTTCCATTCAAGTCTTTGGGATGTTAGTGCGCAGGTGACATCAGCCTAGTACTAGATTTAAATAGTCTGGGCTGCAGACAGCATGGGAGATCTCAGCTATCGGAGGAGATAAGTACGAACCTGTAGGTATAACAGGGTTAGCTGAGGATATTATTGACAAAACGTCTTTGAACAAGTAATCAAGTGATAGACTCCCTCCCACAACATTGCAAATTTTGGTGGTGTAATTTTTAGTTGTTAAAATGCCAATATATTAAGTTATGATGACTAAAACTATAATGAAAATATATTGACATTTTAGTCGACTAACTAAAACTAGACTAAAATGTTAGGGAGAGGCGATTTGGGAAGAGATCCTATCAGAAATAATCTCTTTGGATTTCCAGTTCTGTTTCCATCCTGAATGGATAGCTAATAGGTAACATGTGCAATGGCATTATAGTCAATATAGTTTTTTATTTTAATATTTTAGAGTTGTACTTCTGCTTGAAGGAATGATGAATGCCATATGCAAGATGTTATAATTAATGCATATCTAATTACTGGTCCTTTGTTGAAAATACTAAATATTATTGTTTCTTTATAAGTCTTAGTTTAATCTAATTTTAAGATAAATAAAGACATGTTATATATCAGAACAGTTAAATCTGAATTGCATGTTCAAACCTTAATACCATAAGTAATAACAGGTTAACAGATGTTTACTCCAGGAGTATATAATGAGATTGGAAATTCTAGAGAAATTCCTTAATCACTCTTTAACTAAACCCACTGGATTTCAGTATACTAAATCCCAGATAGCAAGCAATTGAGCTGCAAGTTTGAAAATGACTTGCTAAACTATTGCAGACTTGCCAAGCTTCACAACTTTGTTGCACAATTACAGCAAGTCTCCAGACCAGCGAGCTTGCAGAGCTCTTGCTAAGACCTGCAGGACTCTTGCTGTAGACTTGCCAAGCAAATTTGCTACAAATTCAAAAAGTGTCAACTAGAACTTGTGCTGCCAGTGTTCTGCAAGTCTACAACTTGCCAGGAATGTGTGCAACAAGTTAACAAGAATTACAATTTCACCCTGCCACAAGTTTGTAGCAAGTTGTCCTTGCTATCTGGGATTTACTGTAGATTTAGTTGACTAAAACTAAAGCAATTCAGATGACTAAACTATGACTAAAACTAAATAGCATTTTAGTCAAAAGACTGTGACTAAAACTAAATGGAAATTTGCTGTCCAAATTAACACTGCTCTGTATGTAACATACCGGAATCTGTATCTATAGCACACCGTTGGAACAAAAATCTACACACATACAGATTTAATTAACCAATCTTCCTTGCATTTTTAATTGAGTGAATAATACCTGCAATGTCATATGAATCTTATTTTATTTTTATACAGCATTCATATCTGTATTTATTGTACCATTTAGGTTTCAATGTGAATCATTTGGACATTGCACCTCGCTATGCCAGTATTCTCATGGGTATTTCCAATGGTGTTGGAACCCTGTCAGGCATGGTTTGCCCCCTCATTGTAGGAACCATGACAAAACATAAGGTATGGTAATATAACTTCCAGCTGCATAGTTATGCACTCTATTATTGCATACCCTCCACACAAAGGCAATGTCAACCACTTCATGACCAGCAATCAGATCAAAAGTGGGGCTTTACATTTTCACTGTTAAAATTGTAGCAAGTTTGGAATCCTATTCTCACTTCCTGGGTTTTTGTAGTGAGTGAGTTTGCAGAGAGTGAGTGTCAGCGAGACTTGTGACTTTGCCCATTAAGCAGCCAAGGTTTACTAGTCTGGATGTCTGTGCTAACTTACAGTTTTCCATCATGAAGTCTTTGGCAACTGGAAACTCCAAACTCCCCCAACTTCATTAGTGGTGTTCAGTATTCAGATGCCCCTTTACATAAATGGTCAGTGGTAAAGTGTCCCCTTATGTTAAGAGGTCATTGTCAGGAAGCTGAGATCATTGGTGTTAGTGATTACTTTCCTGACGTATAGGCTTGTGACTCTGCCAAGTGAAGTCCACATTGGTGGCAGAACTATCAAGCCACAGATTATACAAATGTATAGTTCTTGCGCTGCCATAGATACATACAGTTGTCAGGTTGTCAATTTTCCATCAAAAGCACTGTTTGCCACCATGTTGTTGAGAACACCATATACTGTGTCCTTGGCAACATGGTGACAAACAGCACCTGTCATGCCATGTCAAAGTTTGAAGTCTTTCTGCCACTCTGCAAAAATGTTGGGGGAAGGGGATTAACATTGTTTACCAATAACACAGAAACATTGACATTAAACACCAACATAATAGGGGCATTTGCACTGTTCTGCAATTAAATGGGAGTATTTACACTGACCACCAATGTGATCAATGTCCAGACCGATGAACTCTCTACACTTTGTTGTACATTCATACCACTAGGAATTATTTTAGAAATGAGGAATTTCATCATGTTTAATGGGCACTTGTTTTATTAATATATGCACCCATACATACAATATACACACACAAAAAAAAAGCATGTTGTATTATTGAAACGGGAAACATGTGTTA